GCCCACCCAGCCCGAGTGCTGCACGCCTCAACAAGCGGTATGTTCCTTTTTTCAGAGGAGCTCAAGCAGATATTCATTCATTTGTGTATCTGTTGCCACGACATTTTGTGTTCGACTGCATTAGCTGCGTCTTACCGCTTCACTTAAACTCCGTCTTCCCCTTCTAACTGTGCGGCAACTCTTTCCTGCACTGATGTGCTACATTTTCAGTGGCTTTAAGGGAACTCTACACAGTGTGCGAAGACGGCCTCGTGCGAGTATGGACGCTTCCTCAATTGAGTCAGGTAAATAGTGTTGCCTTTCAAGTAACCCGCTGGCACACACCAACAATATATGCATAAAGGGCTCCTTCTAGCCTAGACGCAAATGTGTGCATCACGAGTTTCGGTTCTTAGTATTATTTACTGTGTTGTCGTATTTCCTCGGACTGTATGCAGACGTTCGAGATGGAAAGTCCACAGGATCCCCCTCTTTGCGTGGCTGCTCACCCAACCCAGCGAGCATTAGCCTTAGGCTTTAAGAGCGGTGCAGTGCGGGTGCTAGCGGTTGAGGGCCCTGCCGTTTGGATGGAGGCAAACCACCACAATCATCCCGTTACAGGAATTTGGTTTGTCCACTCCCCCGAAGTTGCAACAGATATAGCGGAATCGTGTACTCGTCATATTACTTCTCAGGAGCCCCACCAACAGCCGAGTATCATTGGCCACAGGGAACTCCTGCGAGCAGGAAATGAAGTTCCCGGCCAAGGCTTTTTGGTGATATCCCTGGATGCGTCCGGATGTAAGCCGCCAGAAATATGCACAATATGCACAATGTTGAGATATGCCAAGCCTGCTGTATTGCAGCGGCAATGCAAAATGTTCCATAATGCTTAACCGTCTGCGTCAGGATGGCAGGCGAAGATGAGCCGTAAATCCCGATGAACGTTTCGTTTTCTGGTGCTCAGGCATTTGCATTTTCTCTCAACTCCACGAATTTGCACTCATTCGGAAGCTGGAAAACCCTCAGATCGAAAAGCCCCCAGAAGGCGTTCCAGCACTTGTGTTTTCCAACGATGGATCTAAGGCTGTTCGTTACTTTTCTCACCGAACCTTGGGCTTTCTTCGCCTTCCTAAGTTCAATTTCGAGGCAGAGTTCTGCCCCTTTTCTACCGCATGCAAATCGGTGGCGATCACTACATACTCCTTCTCGGCGTCCGGAGATGCCCTGTGCGTCTGCGGCAGCGACTCGAGGATGCGCGTATTCTCCTTAAAGAACGAGGTGAAACCTCTAAACTCCACGATGGTCAAGAGTCAGTCCAAGTCTTGTCACTGCAGTCCATGCACCAGTCAATGAATCTGGTGGCTTGTGAACATGTTGTAGACATCTGTCCGCAGTTGCAGTTTTCTGAGCTCGATAGACCACAAAACGAGAATGTTGGAAAGAATGCACCATGCATACAGGCGGGCACCACAAGCTTTCGTCAAAGCCGAGAAATAGCACTTCTTAGCGGATCCATCAGCGTCGCATGGATCTCCTCGGCGGGTTCAGAAGAAAGCACCATTCCTCCCGTCGGAGTTACTTGCGGGGAAGACAGCTTAATTAAGGTGAGTCATAAAGACTCAGCAATTAAAGTCAAGGGGCTCTTATGATGGGCCATTCACGACCATCTGCAACGGCTCCGCCCCAAATACATCCGTTCCTTTTTGATACAGCGAGGATTAATTGAGCATTTCTAATATGCATATATTCAAACACAGATGACAGATGTGCACCCGAAATGCTGAGGGGGTGTCTATCCCTTGCTATTCGTACAGGTGTGGAACCTTGCAAGACTCACCGCTGCCCCGGGAAACGAAGCAAGCAACCAGCCTGAAGGCAGTGCGTGGAAGGAGGCAGATGGTTCAGCGATGGTTGCGGAACCAAATGCAAGCCAANCCAGCCTGAAGGCAGTGCGTGGAAGGAGGCAGATGGTTCAGCGATGGTTGCGGAACCAAATGCAAGCCAAAGGGATTGCAGTAGATCACCTGCACATAACAGCACAGCAGGCTTTGCGGCGGCAGGGCTCACTGCTGAGTTCCCACAGTACCAGTCCTTCGCAGGTCACAACAGGCCGCCGTTTATGGTGCAGCTCTTGGGGGACTATTTGGTGTCTGTCAGCGCCACAGAAACAATTACGTGGAGAGTCGGGTCTCCACTTCTTACTGCTGCTTCAGATATAACACCCGCAGGAAGCATTGCGCTATTGCCGCCACTGCAGGAGGGTTCGCCGTCCGCAGACCCCCTTTTACTCGATTTCCACTCTCTACAGCAGCAACAGCAAAACCAGCAGCAGCCGACCTGTGAACCAGTGACACTGCCGCAACCGCAACAACCACCGCGGGCTCATCCTCAACCTCTAAAGCAGCCCCTGCTGAATCCGCTACAAGCAGCACAGACCACAACCGGGCTAACGGCCATTTCCTGCTCCTCAAATGACGCCTCTTTGACTCAGCATCCTTCAACAAGCGGCCCAGCGGAGTCGCACCCGGGCCATGCTGCTCCTCCAAGCAGTTCTTCCATTGCTACTGCTGCTGCGACAATCGCCCGTGCTGCTGAAACTGCCCGGTCTTCAGGTGTTGCTGACAAGACTCTGGACTGTGCTGCAGCCGTACATTCTTCGCCTCTAGCAGCAGCGGCTGCGCAGAGGATAAATGGCGGGGATCTGGCAGTCCCGGCTGCTCCGCTCTCGGCGGATGGGTGCGAAGCTGACTCGGCTACAGTTGTCGTTGACACNTGGCAGTCCCGGCTGCTCCGCTCTCGGCGGATGGGTGCGAAGCTGACTCGGCTACAGTTGTCGTTGACACGGGCAACGCAAGCGTTGTTCAGTCGCAAAGCAAAAAGTCTGCTACTGGAGAGGAAGGTTCCAGAGAAGCGTCTCACGTGCCAAACGTGAAGGTATTTCCGGGTGTTGTGGGGACCTCCATCCAGCTTGAGGCCAGTATACATACTGGGCAGCAGCTGTCTGTCTCGCAGCGGCCGCAGGAAGCAACCAGCCATTGGGCACTTATAGCAGAAGGCGCTGCAGCCCGTCATGTCATTGGCACTGCAGTGGCCAGTTGCCGCAGCAGCTGCCTGTGGAGGCCTTTGAAGGGTAGGGGACCACTCGGCATGCACCTCCATGATTTCACTGTACACCCTATCGTTACCCACAAAACTAAAGCGACATTGCTGGCTGTTACCGAGAAGGGAAAGAGGCCCTCGCCTTTCAGTCTGCAGTCTCGAGAGCAGACAGATTTTCTCGTGATTCTCTCGCTGACTAGAGAGCACCTCTGTGGTGGCTTGAAGAGTGTGCTTTGTTGCATTTTAGGCGTTTTGGCCCACGCTGTTGGGAGCTGGGTGCTGGTAGAACGGCTGTCTACCCCTGCAGCCTCTCAGGACGGGAAGTGTTTGGGCTTGCTGCCAGCCCTGCTGGGTCGATCCGCGCAACAGCGAGTGCAACAGCAGCAAATACAGGCAGATTCCCCCAAGCGAAAGTCTCCAGCTCTCCAGAGGCAGCAGCGAGGGACTCAGTTGCTGCAGCAATGCGCAGCAGCGGCACATGCTCCCCGGATTTCTGTTCTGAGGCATCCGATCGTTGGAGCTGCGATTGCCTTCGCCATCGACACCACCGCACGGCTTGCAGCCACAATCAGCAGTATGGACTTCATCACCTTTATCATTTGTCTTTCATGAGCTTTGAACGGCGCTGTCGTCTCATTTATTGCATCGCATTTGCGTGTTGCATTACTTGTGTTGCAGTCCTGAGCGTCCCGGAGCCCCCCGCTGCCCATGCATGCTCCTGCTGCAGCGACGGCTGCAGGAACAGCTGCAGCTCTTGTTGTGGCAGCCGAACAGCTGCAGACGCCGCTTCTTGCTGTGGTGCCCAAACCAGCAGGTGGCTGGGATTGTGTCTGTGGAAGGCGGAGGGAGGGGGAGAGCTGCTCGGGGCTGCGCGGCTACCTCGTGCATATGGAGA